GGTCTATTTTTTCCATAATTCTATGCAAAACAAGTCTCTCCAGAACTTTGTAGATGTGGCACAACAGGGAAATTGGTCTGTAGCTTTTTGGGTCACTACGGTCTTGACACCAGGCTGGAATGATATAATAAAAGTTTTGGGCAATCTGCAGAAGGACTAACTGTTGCACTCCAAGACTGGAATAACCCTCCAACTTTAAAACACTACACATTGAGTAGGGGAAAAAAATCCTTTTATTGAAGATAAGTAAAAGTAGCAAAGTAAAAAAGCACTTTAAAGGAATAGGTAAATCCAATTAGGAAAGAGGATAAGCAGGAACAAATTAGTCCAAGGTAAAGTTCAGCAATGTCCAAAAACAAAGTCCACACTTCTGTAACAAAATCCATAGAACCAAGAAATGATCCAAGGCATACGTATGTAATCACAAGAGACAAAGAGTCAAACCATGAAACAAGAAATCCTTAAACATGAATCTTCCAAGCAAAACTTCCATGAGACAAGAACAAGAACTTGGCAGGATTCTAAACGATATTTCCAATGCTCAGTACTTTATATCCCCCCATTAAGCCATTCCAAGCACTCAGAAATTGGTTTCGTTTTCCCTGAATGCCTTTTATCTTTTTCTGTCGGAACCTGGCAGAACGCCAAAGGCCTTGGTCGAGCTGTCTGTTTTGGCTAATTTCTACCCACCTGTCTATATGCTCATTAGTTTCTGCAGGTGCCGAGTTGTTTTCAAGCCACAAATCCTGGGAACTCTCTGGGAGTAATTCATGTAGATGACCCAAGAGCTGGTCTCTACTGAGATAGTGTGCTTCCAGGGCCTCCAGGTCCAAAATTTCTCTTCTTGTCCAAGACTGAATGTCTCTCTGTCTTCTCTTTTGTGGGAGCAACGGTCTTCTTCCCTCTTCTTCTTCATTTATTTATTTAATTTTTTTAAATTAGTAATTATTATTTTTGTTTTTCTCTTATCTCTTTTTATATTCTTGTTATACTATATGCATATATCTATTAGGGCTGGGCGGTTTCGTTTCGTTAATTCGTAATTCGTTAATAATTCGTTAACTTTTTCAATTACAA